CACAGATACATACTGACACACAAATATATACTGGCAGACATACTGACACACACACACACACACACATACATACATACATACACATACATTAACAGATATACTGACACACACACAAACACATACACTGACAGATATACTAAAACACACAGACACATACACTGACAGACACATTGACACACACGCACAGGCATACTGACATACACACTGACACACACACACAGGCATACTGACATATACACAGACAGACGTAATGGCTGATACAGACAGACATTAAAACATTCATAGATATATACTGACACACACATACACTGACATACAAATATATCCTGGCAGACATACTGACACACACACACACAGACAGACATACATACATACATACATACATACACACACACAGACACATACACTGACAGATATACTAAAACACACAGACACATACACTGACAGACACATTGACACACACACACAGGCATACTGACACACACTGACACACACACACACAGGCATACTGACATATACACAGACAGACGTAATGGCTGATACAGACAGACATTAAAACATTCACAGATATATACTGACACACACATACACTGACATACAAATATATCCTGGCAGACATACTGACACACACACACACACACACAGACATATACACTGACAGACATACTGACTGACACACACATACACACACAGACATACTTACATACACACACAGACATGCTGACACACACACACAAAGACATACTGACATACATACACACAGACAGACATTAAAACATTCACAGATACATACTGACACACACATACACTGACACACAAATATATCCTGGCAGACATACTGACACACACATACACACACAGAGACATACCTACATACACACACAGACATACGCACACAGACATACACACACACACACAGACCTACTGACATACATTTAGCCACCCTCCAGGTTCTTACCTTTTCCTGGAGGGTGGTTTCCCTGGTCCAGTGGCAGGCTGAGGCAGATGGGAGTTCTCCTCTGGAACTCCCTGCCTTCCTCCTTCCGCGCGGCCATTATCTCCGGTGGGAGGAAGTGACGTCACTTCCTCCCAGCCGGCTGCAGAACCGGAAGAGGGGCCCGGTCGCGCTGTTTAAGCGCCACAGCGCCCGACCGGGCCCCTGCTGACACATGTTCCCCGGGTGGCCCTTAGTGCATGGGCCACCCGGGGAGCCTCCTCAGTGTGCGGGAGCCGGTCCATAAGGGCTGCGCAAATCGCGGGGCCCACAGAGCAGCTGCTCTGGGCCCCCAGGAGCAACTGGGCCCGGGGCAGCTGCCCCGTTTGCCCCGCGTTAGAGACGGCCCTGGCCAGGGCCAGACTGGGCCAGAAATTCAGCCCAGGCAAATAAAGGCAGAGTAGCCCACTATGAGGGGCGGAGCCAGAAAGGAGGCATGTTTATGTTAGTGTGGTGTCCCTCCAGAGCATCCAGTTATCTGGGGTGGAGTAAATGTCCTGGATTTTTATTTTGTTTAACATAAACATGCGCTGCGTTTGCTAGTGATTTGTCTCTGGTGTCCTCCATAGTGTGATACCAGAGAACAACTATGGAACAGGACTGTTAAAGTGTGTTGTGTGTATGTGTGGATGCTCCCTGTGGTGTTGTATGTGTTTGGAGATTGCTTGTGCGATTGCATATGTGGATAGGAGACTATTTGTGTTGTAGTTTGTGTGTAAAGGGGTCTGTTTGTGGCATACTATTTGTGACTGGGGACTGTAGTATGTATTCCTGGGCTGTAAAGTGTGTAGGGCTAGGTGGTGTTGTGTATGCGCATGTGAGGACTGTACTGTGTTTAGCTAGGGGATATAGGGTTGCATTGTGTGCATCTTGGAGATTTAGTGTGTGTGTATGTGTATAGGGGTTGTAGTGCAAATGTGTGTATAGTTGGGGCAATTAATGTATGTATAGGGTGTGTAGTGTGTGTACAGGGGTATAGTATAGGTGGTGTAGTTTGTGTATAGGGGGTGTACAGTGTGCATAGGGCTATAGAATGTGTATTTATAGGAAAAATAGAGTACTGTGTGTGCATAGGGGGTGTACAAGGGGTATAGCGTGTGTGAGTGCAAGGAGTATAGAATTTGTGTACTGTGTGTATATAAGGGGGTATAGAGTGTTTAGTGTGTGATACGATAGTGGATTCTTTAATTAAACAATAAAATAGAAATTCATTTATAAATATATAACATTTACTCCCCCTCCAACTTATTACCTTGCAGGGGGGAGGGAGCAGGTTGATCCCTGGTGGTCCAGTGAGAGCGGAGGCAAACTGACACACCGCAAGATAATCCCTGGTGGTCCGGTTATTTGGTCTCTACCTCCGCAGGGAACAGACCATGTCTCTAACTCTCGCGAGCGCCGGTATTACATAGCATTGCCGCGAGTTACCATGGCAACACGCTTAATATCTAAACTCGCGAGACACAGGCTGTCCAGCTTTGTGTCTGTATCAATTCATCAACGCCGGCTTGTGAATCTCTCCTCTGGCCCTTGAAGGCCCCTCTTAGGGCCGGTGCTGCCCTGCATGGGTCATCAGGAGAAATCCCTTGATCTCTCCTGCTGGCCTCGGCCCCCACAACCTCAGCCACTCTAAATCAATTCCACATTCAGTCCCAAGAAACTTTCAATTCGAGCATCTGTGAATCAGGTGCTTCTCTCCCAGCGGAACCAGAAATCCTATCATATATTTAGTTATATCTGAGAATGCATTAAAAGAACACTATAGGGTCAGGAACACAAACATATATTCCTAACCCTAGAGTGTTTAAAACTCCATATAGCCCCGTGCTCCCCCCCTGCACCTTTAAATATAGTAAAATCTTACCTTTATTGCAGTCTGCTGCTGCTGGTTCTGCCTCTGAACTGCCTGCTTCACTGACATCATCAGAAGTGTTGATCTGAGCCACTCACAATGCTTTCCCATGGGATTGGCTGTGTTTGTCTAGTACAGATATAGGCAACCTTTGGCACTCCAGATTTTGTGGACTACATCTCCCATAAAGCTCTTACACCCATAATGCTGGTAAAGCATCATGGGAGGTGTAGTCCAAAACATCTGGAGTGCCAAAGGTTGCCTATGCCTAGTAGGCAGATAAAGGGCAGAGCCAGCACAAGCCAAACACAGCCCTGACCAATCAGCATCTCATTGAGATGCATTGTATCAAAGCATCTCTATTAGGAAAGGTCAGTCTCTCCATGCAAAGGGTGGAGACACTGAATGACAGTCACACTGTGCAGCACTGCCCCAGGAAGCACCTCTAGCAGCCGTCTGAGGAGTGGCTGTGGCGGAGCGCCTGGCACCCCAATTGGGTGCCTCCGCTTATCCAAGACCAGGATCCAGCTTCCTGTGGGTAGACCTCTCCTCCAAGAGAGTGTAGCAATACGCTCTTAAAAGAGCAAGTGATTCTAATACCAGGGGAGTATAGTGATATAGCAATCCCCAGAATAGATACAGCTGTTTCCCCCACACATGAGATGAGACCCTATGTTGAGAGTAAGCAGGAACTCGTCTATTGGCAGCCACAACTGGCCTAATATGCAGGTCCCCACGCAAGGGGCACTCCCCCTGGACCTGAGAATAGACGGCAGTAAATACATACGCATGATTACAGGTCCAGGACACTCCCACATGAAACATGATAATCCCTCCTCTGTGCTTAGGAGATAATTGAGTCAGGAACTGTAATAAACTCAATTATCTCCAGGCACAGAAAACATACATTTAAAAAAAAAAAAATACCTTTAAACACACAAAACACATCCCCCGATAGCCTCCATCTAGGTGACCAACATATTCAAAAATCACCCAGATCGGTTCAGAGGTTCAGGAATTTCCTGGAAGTCATAATTTGACCACCACCACGCATGATCCCATGCCCAAAACAGTTCCAGAGAATCAGGGCGTGCGGTCGGTTCAGTTAAGTAGTTTAAAACCCGAACAAACTATTGAACATAGTGAATGTTCTTACCCTGGAGCTTGTTCACCTTGTTCGTTGGAACGTTTCCACCAGTGCCCTACTAAGTTGTGTAGAATCGAACGCAGGCGATCCTGGAAGTCCAGCGGTGTTCGGGAGTTTCAGTGTTCGAAAACAGTTCCATGAACTCGACGACTAAACACCGTTGCCTGCGTTCACGGGAACAAGATGGCCGCCACCTCATGGTCATTCATGCGAACAGCGGCTACCCAGACAAACACTTAGAACACTACGGTGGGAAGTGTTACAAACTGTCAATTAGGCTTAAGCTCCCGGGTGGTCTCTGGTTCATGCACCTGTTCCCGAACCAAATATAAAATCTGCAAAAAGTCTGAAGGGAATGATTCTACTCACCAGAACAAATGCAATAAGCTGTTGTTGTTCTGGTGACTCGTGTCCCTTTAATATAAGACTTGTTTTCTCTTTGGTCACTGACATGGGTGCCTGGGCAAGGACATGTGAGTGGAAGGTGTAGCATTTAAATCTAACTTTCTTAGAGCTTTTTAGGTACAAGACACTGGAACTGACCCATAAATAGTTTTTTTAATCATGTAGATCGGTAAATATGAGAACATTTTCAAAAACCTCAGAAGTCTGTCAAATAAAGAAATCATGTACCCCATGTTATTTGCAACGTGGGTGCTTTATATAGTTCACAAATTCTAAGCACAGTAAAGGCTTATAAGAAAACTATGGCTGTATTATTCCTCAGAGCTTTCCCATGGAATTTGAAAATGACTTGACTTTTATCTGGGGCACAGCTCTAGGGAATTCCTGGAACCATAGCCACTACAGCGAGCTTTGATTGATATTGGGTATAAGCAGACCCTGGAATTTAAAGCCACCTCAACTAATCCTAAATTAAAACTAGTATAATGCTGCCATCTAATGGCCAGAAATGGGATGAACATAAGTTATTCACATCAATTATTTATGTGTAATATGTTTTTTTCCTCTCAACTCATTAAAGAGTGATTGTGGTTGTTTTTAAGGTTTTATTTTCTGCCTCTGTTCATTGCATGAGTTTGTACATACATATACATATGTTTTGTTTGTTTCGCTTGAGGTAAAGTCGTGTTATTTAAACCCCCTTGACAGCACAAGGCAAACTGGGAATAACTTGTTTTAATGTTATTGGTGGTCCAAGGGGGTTTCACTGTGTATAATATCTCAGTAATAATGAAGGCTGAGAATAGTTAGTTATGTTGTATAAATAGGTGGGAAATCAAGCAAGCTATAGCTTCACAGAATACTGTACATATGATGTATAATTACAGTAGCCAGTGGGCCCCCCTCCTGCTGCTGGGGAACCAATTTAATGCTTTTCATGATCAACCCTGTCAAGGCATCACGGTGTAATATTGTTCCCCAGGAGATGGGAGGCGACATGCTGGCTACCCCTTTCATTACATAAGAGTAAAGCACTTGGTTTAAAGGAAAATCTTTGGTTCCAGTCAAGACTGTGTACTTGATTCTCAGTTTTACTGTTCAAGGTATTTCTTTAAATGACAGTGTATTCCTGTGTCCCTGTCACTACTATTTTTTTCCAGTTCTCCCCTATACAGAGCTGATGAATGGCCATCCAATAGACTAGCTCCTGCTAGTAGAAAGAGAATGTTAACAAGAGTGTAGCAGAACCAAATATGAATACCAAAAAGAGACCCCTTGACACAAGTCATTTGTCTTCACTATTTCCAAGAACGGTCAACGCCAAGACTGGGGAGATCGTGGGCAGATATGGCACCTGAGGCCTGTTCAGAGGACGTCAGACTGGCCAGCCCTGCATGGTCTGAAGACTTCACATTGGGCTCAGAGGTAGAGTTCCAGGAATTGGTGCCCCATTTGTGGTTATCCCAACGCTCTCTAGATGAATTTGGCAACCATGGCCAATGGAATAATTTAAGAACAAGGGGCTACCCGGATGATGATGATGAGAACTTACCAACACTTTTACAACAGTTATTTAAGGATATGCTTAAGGCCCAACACGGACGCTTTAAGATCCAAATATATCCGATAAAGGTGGAGATACACTGTTTCACTATAGTCACCCATAAGAACTCCACATTCTACATCTCCTCTTTGGTTGATATGCCAGCATTTATGAAGGCGCTGGACATACCGTACATTATCTACCGTACAAAGTCTGCAGCCTTTGCAAGCCCTTCCCTCTTTCCCCAGCTCAGACTTCAGTCTCTGCCAGGGAATACCGTAGTGTATTAAGAAGCCTCTGTGCTGGAGCCGCGAGAGCGGACGCAATAGTGGAGTTCCTTATGCTTCTCAATGTGATGTGTTCTGTCAATCATCTTGTCAGCTCTAAAACTGGCCAGATAAATCCCTTCAATATGATTATACATGTACCAAATCAGTTATCACTAGTTTTGGCCCCCAGACACGAAAGTACAAACTGCCTGTATTTGGATCTTATTATAATGGAGCAATAAAATGTTGCTGCATGACCTAGCACACAAGTGATTGGCTCACCCACCATTGGTACCATTATATAATAAAGCCAGTATAGCCTAAAAGGAGGTTATCTAAAATAATATCTATTGCATCAATTTATGGACAAGTAAGAAGTTATTTTAATTTTACAATTTGGTCACAATTACTTTTCTACAGACCCTTCCAAATCCAGTCTCCTGCAGTAGGAAGAGTTTATTTTCTAATATTATCTAAACTAGGGTTACCCGTTTCACATAATCATTTTCTGATAATTTTCGCCCATTATCACATAATGGAACGAAGATCTTTCATATATTACCATGATGTATGGTGTTTAAAAAGCAGTGTTTTGTTTTTTATATGTTCTATACATGTCCCCTCCCAGTTTTTTTTCCACTGCATCACAACCAATACAATGAACCCAGTATTGAGTGAATGCTGAAGAATTGACTGACAGGTGTAAGGAAGGCCTATTTTTAAATTGTTGGGGTTTTTTTTCTCCTAATTTATACATTTACTAGCAAATCAGCTAGCACACTGTATAGGCAGAATCTTATGCCTTTTCTAATATTGCATGGCAAAATAATAGGAATGGTGGGTACCCATGAAGTGGTTTCAATATTTCCACTTAACTAACCCAGGCTTTTTCTTGTATCAAGTATTCTAAGCTGAAGAACAATCAGTTTATCTTCAATATTATGAAAAAACACATAACGCACACTCCTGGGAGTGGACGAAAACATTCACCTGATTTTATTCAATACTCAGGACTTGGGAGGCTGGTTATCAGTGCATTCGATGTTTACTCACAAATCTGAAAATGGGTTACACATACTTAGAATGCGGTGGATAGGCTGAGAGATCAGCGTCATTTCAAAGTTTCTATAAATATTCCATTCAAATATAAATTAATTTTTTTTTTTTTTATACACGTAGTCACTAAATCTGAATTTGAAGAATTAAAGTGAAACAGTCACTTCTCCAACATATTCGATAATTTATGTCAGTGGTTTCCAAGCCAGTCCTCCAGGCACACCTGCCAGTACAGGATTTAGGGATTACCTAGTCAAGGTTCCTCTTTCTAAAAACACCTCAGACAACTGGGTAGTCCAAAAATCCTGTACGGGTAGGCGTGCTTTGAGGACTGGATTGGGAACCACTGATTTAGAGGACTGTTCATATTGCCTTTAAATAGCCAGAGAAACCACTCCTACTGCTCCAGACTAGCGCCTTTATATACACACAAACACACACACACAATAAGGATCAAATGGATAAAAAAATACATAGACAGTTTAAACAATATATTTATAATATTGGAGCAATCCATGAAACAATTAAAAAAAAAAAGTTTTTAAACAAAACTATTATATACAAGATTTCAAATTATTGCTTAACCACAAGTGCAGTAAGGGTGGAGATATTGCGATATTTGCATCCTAACCCATTCAATAGCTTATATTTGCGGCAAATCAGATTTAATTCCTGGCTCACAAAATGCTTCTATAGGAATGGCTCCTCTATCCTTTAGAAACCTGAAAATATCTCCGGCTTGTTTTATATTCCAGTTATTATCTTCAAGACACTTTTGTGCCCAATCAGTTTTCATCGCAGTCTGGTCAGAGAAAGTCTGGAGAACCGCCATCTTTTCAGAGTCTAAGGTTTTGTTACAGCTTCTTGGGCTACCAGGTAAAGCTATCGCCATGGAGGAACTTTCTGGTGAGCCATATGATTTCAGAATCACCATCTGATCATTCAGAATCTGGGCACTGAAAACAAAATCAAAGCCTTAATAAATTACACATAATGAAAGAATATCGGAATAAACACCACTCTCAGTATTTAGGAAACACTATCTGCATCAAATAATTAGTTCTGCGCAGTCGGGACGAAAACAAAATTTAAAAAATAAAATTGTTCTGGGGGCTGGGTTACATGAAGTCAGGGACCCTAATTTAGTGTAAACTGCTTAAAAAATAGTTTAACACTGAATAGGGGGACACTGCCAGGGGACTCCAATCACTATAACCAATTCACTGAGATGAAGTGGTTATAGTGCTTACAATGTCCCTTTAACATTTTTGCGTACACTATAGTAGGAGGACTCCTGTCGTTGCCTTCCTGTTCATTGGAAATCACTGCAGTTATAGGAAAGCCCCACCACTCAAATCACAAATCAAAGCTATGCTACACCATATGGCAGTATTTTTTAAATAGGGTGATTGAAAGTCAAATTCAGAGATTCAAAAAAAAAAAAACTAAACAAAAACATGGTCACAACAGTGGTCATGTCTATAGCTCAATTCACAATCAAGTATTGAGGCAACAGTGAAAACTCTTACTGATGCAATAATTGCATTACTGGACTGTCTCACAGTTCTTGAAATATTGTTTTTGCATCAGATCTGCAACCTGGAACCACAAATTCCATAAAACAGATATGGGAGAATGAAAGAAGAAACATGAGGATGGAAAAAGGGGGGAAAAAGTAAATGTAAGGAGAGAGAGAGTGGAGATGTATCATTCTAACCATGGAGAAGCCCCAAGCCTACATTGGCCAAATTATCTCCTCTTACCTCACACCAGGAGGAGCTGGGACAATGACAAAGGTCCTTCGGAAGGTCCTAACAAGGTTTTCCCAGATTACACTTGCTGAATAAAATAAAATAAATGTATTATATTTACTGTGATAAAACAATGAAATCAATGTCACACCTTGTTCATTGGTTACTCTTTATTAAAAGAGGATAGACACAGAGATGTACTTAGGGTTTTGTCTGCCCTAGGCCTCCTGATCTATTTTACTCCCTTCATGCATACAATAAGACATACACCTAGGAACACAATCATTCAGATGTAGACACACAGTTACATACATAGACAAAGACATACTGTAACTTCCTGGTTTGTTATCTCAGTGGAGCTAAACTCAAGAGGCAGCAATTATCCAGAGCACCTGCCTTGCAAAGACTGCTCATTGAGCTGCATTGGGAAGTCTGTGATTGGACAGCCACAGAATGTCTGGGCGGGGTTAGAATGGGAAAGCTTGCAAAGGCTGCAGACTGTGCATTGAACTACATTAGGAAGTCTGTGATTGGACAGCCACAGAATGTTTGGGTGGGGTTAGAATGGGAAAGCTTGCAAAGGCTGCAGACTGTGCATTGAACTACATTAGGAAGCCTGTGATTGGACAGCCACAGAATGACTGGGCGGCGTTAGAATGGGAAGGTTTCCAAAGGCTGCAGACTGCATTGAACTTCATTAGGAAGTCCGTGATTGGACACCACAGAATGTCTGGGCGGGGTTAGAATGGGAAGGCTTGCAAAGGCTGCAGAGAGGATACATGCAGCTTTTGTGAGCCATTTTTAAATCAATAGCATTCGTTTTTATTGGTTGTATGTCTACTAAACAGTGATTTGTTTATTTTTCCATTTGTGAAGGCGAGCATCCCTTTAAAAGGTACATCAATATTTAAATTAATGCCTAGAGATTGCACTTAATTTAGAGAAGCTATTCACCATGACGTTGATTAGTATCGTATGTTCATAATTTCTTTGGGGTTTTAACGGATACAAATCCAATGAGAGCAGCATGTGTTTCCGCAATGTCTCTTTAAATTCCTAAAAACGTACCTTCTTTAAAAACACCTTGCACAGAAAAACACAAGAGATGTGGCTAAGGAAAAACAGAACAAAAAATAAATGACCAGCTCTAACTACAGTAGGAACCAAAATCCTTAATACACTATAAATTGCAAAAGACCGCGGAATATTAACGTTAAAAAAAATTGTCCACATGGATTTCATTCAATGTTACAGAACATTATGCACTAAGCTGTTTTATGTATACGAACAGTTTAGGCATTTAGGAAACAACCTACATTTAAACTTTTTTTACTTGTCTGTACATGTAAAATACCGTATAGCTTGCGAGGCCAAAACAGCTTTCACAAGTGCAACGAAAGACATAGATGAATAATCGCATAACATTTACAGATTCTGCACATACCACTATTGAAAAATATCACGTTGCGTTAGTAATAATAAAATAGTACAGATAACAGTATAGGAACATGTCTAGTCAGGATACTTGCCAAGTGCAAACATATGTAAGTGAGTTGTGTAGCTAGGAGACAGGCCAGGCTATGTAATATATGGGTAAAAGTTAGGACTTACATAGGCAAGATTGATTGTCACTGACCTGCCGTATTACACCCTTAACTACATAAATGTAAACATCGCAGACAGCAGTACATTACCCCGAACAGCATCTTAATCAGCAAGTGTTGCATTGTATTCTGAAAGGCAGTGTTATCAAGACATTTGTAATTAGTGTTCAGCAGATGGGTGTTGCACCGTAGAAATAAAAATCATAATATAAAGGAGAGTAAAGGGCATACAGTACATCAACGTAAATCAACTTGGATGCATTGGGAGACCCAAAGCTCCCAACGGCTGCATGTTGGCATCCACAGATCGATGGAGGGTTATGGACTGGGTGCAGACATGGGCCATCCATAGACTCAGTCATCCTATGCCCACTTCTGGGAATCTTGGAGATGCCATGGGGAGGTTGTTTGTGGCAGTGGAGAGGTTGAAGCAAGCAGAGCCATTCCTCAAGCTCCAGGCCTGGATGAGGGCTCCTAAGGTCAGAGTCCTTCCCTGTTGGGAAATAGCAGGAGGCCTTGGGTGTACTTTGCCGCAGGCAGCTCCGGGCCTTCTGCCAGCGTGGTTGATCCCCTAACGGTCCTCAGCTTAGATGGGCCCAATTTGAGCGTAGCAAGCTTGTGAATAGGGCCACCTTTGCTTGCTGAAGAAGTGGTGTAGGCAAGTGGGTTGCAATAGTTGCCCAGAAGCGGTCAAAAATGTCCTCCAGCCGCCATTGGCGACTATTCCACAGAGTAATGCTGGTTTAGTGCAGGCTCCAACTTGTCAGCTCTGCCTGCAATCTACTCTCCCAAGAGGTGATTGCTCCTCCACCATTTTGGGAGAGTAGATTGCAGGCAGACCTGACAAGTTGGAGCGGTCTTCAAAGGTACTTATGCAGGTCAGTGGGACCGGGATGACCCCCACCGGCCAAAGGCGGGGGTGGCAAGAGTTCAGTTTAAGAGATGAGGTCCCTGAGGGAACAATGCTGCAAAGCGGGAGAGCAGCTGCCTCCCCCGTCCAACCGATCAGTAGGCCTCAACGCGATCTACCGGACAAGTGAGCTTCGGGCGCTCTGTAGAAGCTGTCAGTAGACTCGCATGGGTGATATTCACTCTAATCATCTTTGAAATCACGTTAAAGCACCATACATTGTGCTAGCAGAATTCTTTAAATTCTCAAGGTTCGTTTTTTTCTGATTTCCTTAGCATTTGCTACTATGTAATTGGCATAACACTACAGATTACAAATTTAGAGTCCTAAGGAATTCCTAGTGTTTATCCACATGCTAGACACTGCTGGATCCTGCAAGAATCATTTGGCTCAAGGTGTCTGAACATGCTGCCACATGACAGAAGGAGGTTAGCAATAGGCATTAATGGGACACAAACATATATTCCTAAAGTTGTAATTTACATCCCATCCACCATGTGATGGCTCAAAGGGTGAGATTGACTTACTTTTCAACCCTCCGACCTGCTGGCAAGCCTTCTTGGCGAAGATCAATGTGTTTTCACAGGAAAGCATTGAGAGGCGAACGCGCATCAAAATGCCACGCTGTGCCAATCAGACGGTTTCGATGATGTGCGATAGCCACTAGAGGCAATTAAACCCGATTTTCAGTTGAAGGGTTAAAAGCTCCTTTTACATAAGGCTAGTAATATTAGATATGAAATTGTGAGTAATGATTTTCATATATAGGTCTCGATTTTATATTTCTGGGTAAGCTTTTGAAATAATTTATTTTAGGATACACTTAATTTTTAGTTTTCAAAATCTCAAGCTTAACAGGTTTAAAATTTTTTTTTTAAATAAATATTAAATACATTTAAAAGCTTATTCAAAATATTAAATCTAGTCCATAAATGGGTCAATACTGGAAAATAATATTAGCAAAAATGATGTAACAAGGTGTCATCTTGTGACTGAATAATAGAAGAATAGAATAAAAGAATATTAGGTTTTTTTTTTTTTTTTTTTAAAGGTGAGAGACTTGGCATGCATGCTGATATTCTTTAATGAGTTTAAAGAAGAACCATGCCAGGATTTTTAACAATATGTTGACTTATCCTGGAAAGGAGTACTTCCATCAGTGATTGACAGGATTCCTTGACCTACCGTTTGCATGCTGACATCCACGGTGAAAGACTGCAGATTATGCTCTGTTTTAGGAAGATTGCAGAGGAAACCGACCACATGTAGCCGGTTGTATTTGATTAGTTGTTGCCTTAAATCTGAAATATACAAAGAAACCGTATCAAAGAACAGGTTTCAGTATTCAAACTGAACACAGCCTACACCAAATATCTAGAAACGTTCCCGTATGAACAAAATGTAGTTGTAATAGTTGAACCATATACTACTACACTATCAGAAATCCTTTGTTTAAATAACAGCTCATTCCAAAAGGTTTCTTTGGTGTAAATATATTAAATACTTTCTGTCATGAACACACCCTACTTCAAGAGTGTGCGTGACGTGGTTGTGGTGGTGAAAGGGTTAAAGTTCACTATTTGTCTGCACTAGACCAGAAATAATGATAAAATGCCCCTTAAGACCACCCACACTTAAGCATAATCTAAATATTACCATTTTAACGCTGCCACCACCAGGACCATTTATAAATGGGTTGCCTTAGTCACCCCAGGTAACAATAATAAAAACCCACCAAATGGGGGGGGGGGGAGGCCTGGCTGCCAAACTGAATGGCCACATGCAATCTGAGCTCTGTCAAAGACTTGCCAAAATTCACCTAAAAGCAGTATTTTCAAAGCTAACAAACAGCAATCTATGCGCTGATGTTCACCTACAAGCAACTCTGCTTCAGCCCAAGGGTTTCCAGGCGTCCGTCAAGCAGTTTGAGCCCGCACTGCCACTGAGGCCTACCTGGAGGTGAGAGCCTGGGAGAAGCGGCCGTTCTCCCTATTGCCTATCCGACCAGAATAAGCTGTCAAAGCACGAGACCCCGTTTCCCCCCCCCTGTCGGGTGGGGGTTATCCCAGCCCTATCACCTCAGCCATGCTTCCTGGTCACTGGTGGAGCTGTGACCAGACAAGCACGGGCAGCAGCACTAAGCATACCCTCCCCGCCAACCCAAGATGGTGGATGCCGGGCACCTCACCGCACCACGAGGCCTGACAGAACCGACCCTAGCGAGAATCGACTTGCTCTTTGAGGCCTTCTGGCAAAAACTAGAGCACAGGCAAAGAGAGGAGACTCATACACATCATTCACCTCCTGCAGCACAGCGGTCCCTGCCGAAGCCTCCAAGGCGAAATGGTAACACATCCAGACGCCGGAGGAGACCACCCAAGCGACAAACTCCAGAAGGTAGACATGCCCGCAGAGGCACCCCCTCCGCAGAGACTTTACCCCACAGCCCCCCAAGCCTCGCACAGCCTCAGCTACAAAGCCGATGGGGGCAACCTGCATCTACCAGAATCTCGCCCAAAAGGTACACGGAGAGAGAGGGGTAGGCGAGGACAGTTGGGGGCGGTGGGACACAGAACCCGAGAATGACCTAGCCACCTTGCATACCCCAACCTTGGTCTGGATAGAAACTGTCCACAGAGGCCTGGTCAACCCGGCGACAAACAAGCACACAGCCTCCCAAGTGCCAGCATTGGTTGAACAACAGATGGCTGGGGAGGCAGCACACCGGCTCACGCCTTGGGACTTTCTCATGTCCAGCTGATGCCATGGTGCCATATATAACACACCCAGCCGCTTTAGGCCTGCTAAGAGATGCTACTTACGCTCTGCCTAATGTATTGTTTATGCCTCTCTCTTTTTTTTAGCGTAGCCTGATCTGTTTTTTTTTCCAGTTGATTTCCTTCATATCCACACACGATAGACACGTTCTCTCACACATGTAAAGAATGGAGTGTCTCACCTATTCCAACCGCCTGCATAACACTCTGAACATGCACACAGTATGTTTGCCCGAACACACTCTACTTTTAGTGGACACGCACATATAGTCTAGTCTACTGTGGAATAAAGTGAGTGGCTTATATTGATGTCTTATTCTAACTGATAGGTCATATTTGAAAACATCCTTTCTTTTTGACTAATCTCCATGTCATTATATAAAAAATGTGCAATGTATAGCCATGTCATGCCATACCAATTTAATGATTGTTTAAACAGGAGTGTATGCTGTTGGGGCATTACAGACGCATTTGTAACTGCTTGTTCTTTGCACGCAAAAAAAAAATATATATATATATAAAAAAACAAAAACAAAAACAAAAAAAAACACCAAATGTAACTTAGGACAATATCTATGTAATTGCAAAATAATTAGTATCTTCAAGCAATGTGATTCTTTACCAGACAAAGGCAGAACTTAATAAAGGAATATGTATTATCAGCAAAAAAATTGTCACAGTGCATACAAAAATATAGCTATCAAATTAGTTACACCAACAGATAAAAACAAAAGGAATAAAATAACTGAAAAAACTTGAGTAAGTGATTAGGACGTCTAAGTAAAACTTCTGCCCCAGGGGGTCTCTGGTAAGAAAGATGGTGACTGACTTAGAATTAGATTCTGGCCACTCAAGCAAGTCCAATGCACACTTCAGTATCATTAGATATATACCCAGTGGACTATCAAGCTTAGCCCAGAGGTGGAGACAAGGCGTACCTATAGTAACTAAGTGACCACCTCCTTGTGTTCCAGACCAACATCAATCCAAATGGAAATATTTAGTTCTATCTCCTCTTGTGTACTTGCCACATAAAGAATAATTGCATTTATGAATGTTACCATTTCTCCATTCCATAGATATGTCACACTTCTTACTTGTGACCCAATATAGCGGACATCCCAATCCCTTCCCATATGGTTAAGTTATGCAAATCATATTTGGGCTTGATTAAAAGATTGTGCTGGTCACATTCCAAATATAACAAAAATGAGGCTTAATTATTATTGGGTAAATATGTGGGTTAATATTAACGTTTCGTTCTTTTGGATATGATACTGGAACACAAGGCTTGTTTTTTCTCTTTTCTTGAAAGCTAACGAATAGTGATGTCCCGAACGGTTCGCCGCGGTCGGGTAACATATGCGCTGTTTGGTCCACCCCCTATTCGTCATCATTGAGTAAACTTTGACCCTGTACCTCACAGTCAGCAGACACATTCCAGCCAATCAGCAGCAGACCCTCCCTCCCAAACTCTCGCATCTCCTGGACAGCTCACTAAGAATGCAGCTTCAAAATTAATGTAAAATGGATGCTGTCCAGGAGGTGGGAGGGTCTGCTGCTGATTGTCTGGAATGGGTCTGCTGACTGTGAGGTACAGGGTCAAAGTTTACTCAATGATGACACAGGGAGCGGACCGAACAGCGCATATGTTCACCGACTGCGGCGAACCGTTCGGGACATCACTACTAACGAACATTAACCTATCAAAGAAATTCACTCATCAATTAAAAGGCAGAGGTCATATGGCTGAGGTCAGCTAGTTTACATTGGAGCTAGACTTCCAGGCCACTTATGTGTGACTTCGCACATCTTAGAGCTTTTGATTAATCAAAGGATCAATGCATATGGTAAACCATGTGCTTCCTCTAACATTCCCTTCTGAATTAACACTACCCCTTCTGTCATCTGATCTTTACCAAGTGGTCAATTCATATATGCACTACACAAATTACATTAATATTCTATTGTGCAACAATGAATTATGCACCCTTGGCGTGACACTTTCCTACTAAATACTATTATTAAGATAATACTGTATTATTCCCCAATCTATGTCATTAAGTCCCAGAAGGGCACTATAGCAGTGAAAGCTTCTTATTTATGATATGGCAGAAGACTACTTGAAAGTAATGTGTAAATTATCAGGGCACATACGTCTGATACAAACCTGTTTTTTTAACTTTCATAAGATTTCGGTTTTCTTTCCAATAGTCATTAAGTTGCTCATGGCTTAAAAATAATAAACAAAAACAAACAAACAAACAAAAAAATCAATGTAGCTAACAGAACAGATTTTCATCACATTAGTCATTAAGAAAATAAGGCAATCTAGTTCTGGGGAAAGTAAATTAAGAAATAAATACTTAGTCCTGTGTCCATTTCAATATCTATTACTATTGGATTATTCCCCGGTCTAAATGCTCACTTCCTGTACTTTACTTTTTTGTTCTGAATGCTCACTTCCTGTATAGGACTATTATATTGTTCTGAATGCTCACTTCCTGTATTGGACCATTCCCTGGTCTGAATGCTTTTCTCCTCAGAATACCCACCACATCTTTGGAAATTTAACATTGGGCAAACTGAAGGAACAGACTGCGTTCTCGTGATAAAATTGCAGGAGTGCTTGTCGTCCCACTGAATCATACAACGTAAAATATCTGAAAAGAAGAGAAAATGCATGTACTAAGATAAATGAGACAGTAGATTTCACCATAACATAATTCACCTTAATTTCATAAAACTCAGTCTCTCATCCAATTCATTAGAGCTGTAGCCATTTGGTAAAATCAATGCTGTAAGATCACACATTACTCTTATCATGCAGCAGCTTGCCATTGACCCATACTTGCAGGTCTGCTATTCAGTTATTTCAGATAATTTTTAATCTTTCTGCGCAGTAATAAAGTTCCCAGAAACAGTCTGTAAATCTCCCACATATAAATGCACAATCTCTTATGGGTAAATGTACCACGGCTGTTTCTCTTCTGTAGTTAGAGCACGCAGTAAGACTGTTGGGTAGAGAAGGCAAATCTTGGCGAGCAAAAGTTGATGGATTACACGGCCAGTGACGTTAGCTCAACCTTTAGCAATCCTCTGGCATGATAAGTCAAACAGCTTTCCAATGATCTGACACTTACCTGAGTTCCCCAAGCACCTACAGTCCGGCCTCTTTTTTCTGATATGTCTGAAAACGGAAGTTCCCCTTTCACGATAGATATACAAATTTAATTCCTGTTCAGATGAAATTCATTAGCGGAGAGCATCAGTTGATGCTCTCGATCAATGAATTATTTCAAACATGATCAGAATCAATGTCATTAATGCCGAATTACAAACTTCCACATTTTTAGTGGAGATGGACTAGGGATCCAGGTTGAGTCAAATCATTGGAAAACAAACTGTTTGACCACTTACCTTAGGTCAGCACCAGGGGACTCCTATCATTGTAACCACTACAGCGGCCTTCAGTGGTTATGGTGCCTAGATGGATCCTTTTATAAAACTTTGGACATACTCCAAACGTAACATAACTGCAGGGTATTACACAGTACAAAAAAATGTTTTTGAACTAATAGCATACATACCACCTCTTGACCAATTCCAAAAACTTCACGGTGTCAAACCACACTAAAAAGGCATTAATTATATCTATATCTAGCCCCCTCTCTCTTTTAAACAGCAATTTAAAATTCCGTGTTTTCTACTATTGTTTTTTTCACGATTACATTTGCATTAATTGAATAGCATTGTGTATTATTTTGTAACGTATACATACAAGTAAATACCTATTTTCAAGGAATGTCCTTACTACCCTAAAACCCTCAGAAGTAGCATTTATTTTCCAATACCATGCACATTTTAAACATAGGGAACCAGCTCCCATCACGTTTTTAAAGTGTTGGATGCTTAAGCTGTTGGGATAGACTGTATTGAGCAAGAACAATGAAGCATTATTTATGTAATATTCAGAATTATAATCTAACATGGCTAACGCAAGCCACGATGTTCACTTATTCTGTAAAGTAGAGGTAAAGCAAAGGTTAAAAATGTCAAAGACTTTAAAAACACTGATTTCCAAGCCATAAATCTGAAGGGATCTCTAAGATGAGAGGATGGTGACAGACGTTTCCTTTTTGGGTTCCCAGATGTGATGTAATAGGAAATTGCTATATTGGACTTGCTATAAACTTGGTCAGATTGCATTATTGGGCGTGCCTCTCAGCTAGGGGAGTGTCTTTAATCTCGCCCCCACTAATCCAATCCAGATTACAGATTTAGGACATCATTGTGTCGCAGCAAGCTCTACATTCTCTCTGCACTAACACAGCAGGTCTGTGCATGAATCACCGTGATCAGACTCCCTCTCTTCTCCCCCTGTCAAATGTTACAAAGTGATCTTTCAACTATTCAGGTGTAAATCTGTCAGGCATGCCACATTCACACTGGTTGGTTAGATCAATGTCCCTCCTGGAGTGGGTGTGGAAAGCATAAAAAATAATTATTATTTTATCTTTAATATTTACCTACTTTTTTCAGCCTGCAGAGTGAAGCAACTGTCTCATTTAAAGTTACAACTAAGTTAAGTCCTCTTAAAGTGAGGGATATCCCTTTAATAACACAGGCCAGATGCATGCAAGAGTCAAACTGAAATTAGGCCTTTAACAACAGCACCTCTACAGGTTAGTAGTAAGGATTTCTAAGAAATATGAGATGAGAGTGTCATCAACGTATTAGTGTGGCAATACTTTCCAAAACACTCCCCCCCCAAAAAAAAGGGTGGTGACCTATTTTAGAGGCTAGAGAGATTATGGTCATCAGTATAGTGTGCACCAGTGTAGAAGTTGTATGACACATACGTAGTATAAAATTAGCATTTTAAACATCTACTTCATGGAAGAAGTCACATGTTTAAAGGAAAACTTTATTGTTAGGAATAGATCTTTGTATTCGTAACACTAAAGAGTTCATCTGTCCCTCCCCTTGTGCACCCCTCCTGCTGGAGAGTAAGGGGTTAAACAACCCTTTCCTGACTTACCAGATTCAGTCCAGAAGTACCTCGGTGCTGGGTCAGGCTCCTAATCCGCTAAAGTTGGCTGACGGGGAGGACCTAATGCGCATGTGCATTACGCCTTCCCCATAGGAAAGCACTGACTCAATTCATTACCATGGGGATTTAGAAGACGCTGGATGTCCTCATGCAAAGCTTTAATGGTCTTTGGACAAATAAGCAATGAGGGCTTAACTATGGCTGTCGTCATTGGGCAAGGGAGGAGTCTTTAACCAACGAACACACACACACATTATATATATATATATATATATATATACACACACACACAGACACACACACACACACACTTTTTTTTTTTACAAAGACTCCCAAGGTGTCATGCCCTAACTTACACCAAATGGCCAACTCCATCTACTTCCTTGTTCAGATTTTCAGTCCCTAGTACTTTCCCTTGTCTAGGGATGCAGCCTCACTATTGCAAGCTTGTGCAATAAATAATCTTCCAAAGATAATATCGTGCTTGTAGTGATACATCATAGGGACCAACTGAGTATCACCCAATGTGATGATGGTTTACACATATATACATACACACGCCTTTCAAATAGTACAGAGGCTATGTTACATGTAAACTCCATTTTAACAAAAAAATTTAAGTTTTTATATTTTTATTATTAAGCATTTACAAAAAAGTGTCTAACATGGAAGAATACATTAAGATTTACCTTCTTTTGTTTCCTGAGCTGCAAGAACAATGCAATAGTTATACATTGGAAGAAATTGCCTCCAATACTCTACATGAAAATTAAAGGGGACCTGTCATGCCCCAAACTACGTATGCTCTTTGGAAAGAGCATGACATTTCATTTATACATTGTGCTAGCAGATTTGCTAGCAAATTTATAGATTGGGAGAATATCCTATTTGAAAATAGATCTTTATTCCACTTTTTATTCAAATGTTTGGGGTAGACTCTATGCAGACGTTTCGACTTACGAGGAGGAGGAGAAAACACTTTCCCACAGGTGGTCCATTTACTCATCAAAAACAGCAACAGCAGAGCATGCACTGTGGTTACTATGGAAACTCCCTAGCCAATGCGGCTAGCGTTGGCTAAGGACTATAGCAACGGAGTGATTGATGTCACTGCTTTTAAATGCCAGCATACTGGCGTCCCACAGGAGCGTACACAAGCATAGCAAATCACACAAGACAGCAGGCAGAACGGTAGACGGACCAGTCCTGGGTGTTACATGCACAAAGTTCTGAAAAGTAAAAGTGCAGTATGCTGACATTTCATGTTATCCCTATATTTGACCACTGTCGTTTATATCCTTGAAGTTTGTCAACTCATGTCTGTATGTTATGGTATGCACTACCAAAAAAAAAAATAAAAAAAAAAATAGTTTGAAAGCAAGTTAACGTCTGATTGAAAATGAAACCTTTTTTTTCATGCAAGCTGTGTAAGACACAGCCAGGGGAGGTGTGGATAGGACTGCATGGGTAGAATCAAAAGTGATTTAACTCCTAAATGGCAGATCATTGAGCAGTGAAACTACTGGGGGCATGATCTATACATCACAACTGCTTCATTAAGCAAAAGTTGTGTTGATGACTATACTGGCCCTATAAGGTTCACTAATCTAAAATTAGGAATACCAATATTCTCACAGATTAAGTTCACTATCCGACTTACTTGGAAAGAAACTGTCCCAGGAACGATTTGATATTTTCATTACCAAAAAAGCTCCCCTAGAACACAAAATATCAAATCAATGCAGATTTAAGCTATATACTTATTTGTAGCCATACACAGTCATTGATTTATACTTAGTTGCAGAAATCAACTATTGTTAAAAAAAAAAAAAAAAAAAATGCAAATGGTAATTTTCCACTGGCATTGTATCAAAATGACATATGATCATAAATGCCTAATGTATATAAACCTTAAAATGTATTGTGCTGAATTAAAAATGCATACACCATTTTAAACCCACAGTTTAGAACAACAATAGTGTGTATAATCAGTTTATAAATTACAAGCACTCCCCAATAAAGATATACATTGCTGTTCACCTGAGGTTTCTTTTTGCAGATTTAAAGAAATACTCCTAGCAATCTCCTATAGCTCAGAGCTGATCAGAATTAGAATTACTGGTAATCTATGCTGTTATAATTAATCTGCCCACTACATGGCAGATTGGAGCTGGGGTTATGGACCTATAGCGGTGCAAGGTATCAAACTTCAGGATTAAAAACAGATAATTCCTCCACATCACTGTCAAACAACATAGGTAGACCCATTTACTTCACTTTAAGGATAGATTTATTTGAAGCCATGTCCAAACCAGTCTATTTGGATTTAAAAGATATTTTGTTTATATAAACCTTCTAAAGTGACAAAGCTGTTTGTACTGTAACATGAACCCATATATTTTTGGGGTAAATGCTGTATTCTGTGGCGTTAAGAGGGGAGCAGATTAAATTACCATTATTAACATTTTATTTCATTTTACGTTTATTCCTGCTGTCCCTGCTTCTTACATTTGGCCAGGGAGGGGGTATATGATGGTCCCCTGCGATCCAGTGATGGGGGATTCTATCATACATCTCCGCCACACGCAGGCAGAGTATGCGCTTCTCGTGAAGAATTGCCATGGTAACTTGCGGCAACTCTCTGACAGGCGGAAGGAATACTGTGTCTGCACAGGGCGGAAATGTAGGCTAGAGTCTCCCGGGCTATATCGCCCTCTCAGTATATTTTACACAATCGAAATACAGAAGACAGTTTTTTTGATGATTTTTTTTAATTTTTGGGGTTAAAGATTGCTTCCTATATTATGGGGAAAAAAATGTTTTTTTACATAAATGTAAATCATGAAAAATGACCCTCACATTTGATGCAGCAATGTGAATTTGCACAGCTACAATAGTCATGGCAACAAAAAATAATGGAGGTTATGTTTAACCCCTTCAGGTCGGATTCAATAGTACACATTCTGATCAAAAACAAAATGTAAACAAAAACTGGAATTTGTGCTCTATGTCTGTTCAATCGTAATTCACCTCTTTCATATAAAGTGCACCCACACTTATTATATATCAGTTTGTTCAGGAGAAACAGGGATTTTATTTCATATCAAATATTTATATATGAAACATAATTTATTATGAGTAAAATTTAAAAACAATGTGAGAAATTTAAAAAATGTGTAGTTCCGCCTCACATTTTAGCTGTAATTGTCATAATACGGTTAGCTTTTACTGCAATAAAAGCACATATTTGGATTTAGCAAAGTCTCATGAGTTCAACAGTAGCCCCCATTAACAGTTTTTACAGTGTTTTGGAAAGTTAAAGGGTCAAATATAGCACATTCCATTTTTCAGTTTTTTTACATTGAAATTTGCCAGATTAGTAATGTTACCTTTGAGACCGTGTGGTAGCCCAGGAATGAAATTTACCCCCATGATGGCATACCATTTACAAAAGTAGACTACCCAAGGTATTGCAAGTGGGGTATGTACAGTCTTTTGTAGTAGCCACTTTGTCACAAACACTGGCCAAAGTTATACATATGTATATATAATTTATTTTAATTTATTTAAAAATATTTTATTTTATTATTGTAATTATACATGTATAAATAAATATAAAATATATATAGATGTATTATATATATATTGTATATATGTAACGTCATTCTAAGTGTATTTTAATACTAATATGTGTACTAATATTAACATTAAAATACACTATGTGTGACGTTACATATACACACACACACACTATATATATATATATATATATATATATATATACACACACACATACATATACACACATACACACACTCTTAATTTATTTTAACATGTTAAGGGGTTAAAGGGCAATTCTGGCACAAAATGTTGGATGCAAAGGAGTAGAATCCAGGACAGAACCTGCAAAGACCTCACCCATAACAGCCTGCCATCACCACCAGCACTAAGTAAATTCTTTATCTTACACCTAATTGAAGGAAGTTCATCAGCATAAATACCTGTACAGGAGGGAGTGCTTTCGAGTCCCCGATCTCAAAAAAGAAATTGGGTTTAAAAATGTGTCCATCCTAAAAAAATAAATAAACCCTTTCAAGACTTGCATTATAAAATGCCCAAATGTATATTTTACATAAAACAGTCAACTGGTAGTAATGCTACATCATATCATTGAAATTATGTATTTTAAAGTCTTTGTTATAGTAATTCAAAGGTAAATGCAGTTAAGATTTTTATGATTTTACTATTTGGGTTTTATATGACTGGCCATGGTTTGATAACATAGTGAAACAGTGAAGACATGGGCTTAGAGGTAACCATGTATTAAAACGTCTCTTAAATTACATGATAAACCAAGTTAAACATAATGCATTACCCATGGCTCTAGATTTATTTAGGGACACTCCAGGATCCCACACACACGTTAGATGCACTGTGTAGGTTAGGTTACAGTTAGTTATACTGGGTGGGTTTATATTATTAAAGGGACACTCCAGGCTCCCACACACGTTAGATGCACTGTGTAGGTTAGGTTACAGTTATACTGGTTGGGTTTACATTATTAGAGGGACACTCAAGGCTCCCACACACGTTAGATGCACTGTGTAGGTTAGGTTACAGTTAGTTATACTGGTTGGGTTTACATTATTAGAGGGACACTCAAGGCTCCCACACACGTTAGGTGCACTGTGTAGGTTAGGTTACAGTTAGTTATACTGGGTGGGTTTATATAATTAAAGGGACACTCAAGGCTCCCACACACGTTAGATGCACTGTGTAGGTTAGGTTACAGTTATACTGGGTGGGTTTATATTATTAAAGTGACACTCCAGGCTCCCACACATGAAACGCACATAGGAGGCAGTCATAATTAATAAAAGCTGTGGAATATGTCAACACTTTATAAATGCCTTTAATTAATAAAAATGTAATATCAATGCATATTTTTTTATAGCACTTACCAGCTTTTGGATTCCTGGAAAATGGTTAACTACCATTCTACATAATTGGAGACAAAGGGAAAAGCAGTTATTATCTAGGAAAAGACATGGCATTTTAATTGGCACAAAGCTTAATAAAATAGCACTAATTTGACCACGCTATAACAGTGGGGAGGGGTGGTGGTGGGGGGAGATAAAGAAATTGGAGGGGGAGGAGAAGGAAATTGACTGAGGGGGGGGGAGGGAGGAGGAGGAGAGGAGGAAATTGACGGCGGAGAGGAGGAGAAGGAAATTGACGGCGGAGAGGGAGGAGAAGGAAATTGACGGTGGAGGAGGAGGAGAAGGAAATTGATGAGAAGGAAACGCGGAGAGGAGGAGAAGAAATTGACGCATGGAGAGGAGGAGAAGGAAATTGATCATGGAGAGGAGGAGAAGGAAATTGACGGCGGGAGAGGAGGAGAAGGAAATTGACGGGCGGGAGAGAGGAGAAGGAAATTGACGGGACGGGGGGGAGAGGAGAAGGAAATTGACGGGGTGGAGAGGAGAAGGAAATCTCACAGGTGGGAGAGGAGAAGGAAATTCATGGGGGACAGGAGAAGGGAAATTCACAGGGGAGAGGAGAAGGAAATTTCACGGGGAGGAGAAGGAAATTGACGGGGAGAAGGAAATTGAGGGGGGGGAGGAGAAGGAAATTGAGGGGGGGGAGGAGAGAAGGAAATTGAGGGGGGAGGAGAAGAAATTGAGGGGGGAGAAGGAAATTGACGGGGAAGGAAATTGACGGGGAGAAGGAAATTGACGGGGGGAGGAGGGGAGGGAGAGATTGACATCCATCACACACACACACTCACACACAATGCATCCCTTGCACACAGAAAAACCCAATGCATTACACACACACACACACAAGCAATGCAACCCTTACACACTCAATGCACCCCTTATACACACTGAATCCATTCCTTACAGACGCACACACTGCATCCCGTACATACACAGAAACACACCTTGCAGCCCTTACACATACAAACACAGATTCACACAATGCATTCCTTACACACATCAGGACATCCCCTACACACTCCACCCCCTGTGAACAAACTCATTGGTGGAACATGAAGGTGGACCCTGGGACCCAGACCTTGAGCTGTCTAAAGCACCCCCCAAAAAATGGAGCTGCTTCCCATTCTCCCAGAACATTGATTTTTGTGACCACAGTTACAAACAGCCTCCAGAGACCCTGTTCTACACCAGACCAGTGGAGCCAGACGGCAGCTAGAGCTCATCTGGTTGTAAGCAGGCAATCTAGTATATTATTCGTGGCACTAATCTCTAATTTACCTCACATTAAAGAAACACTATAGTAGTCCCCAGAACCACTGCAGCTTAATGTAGTGGTTCTGGTGTCTACAGCCTGTCCCTGCAGGCCTTTTAATGTAAACACGGTGGCACTGCAGCACTGGCGTTAGTTAACATGGCAGATCATATGGGTGGAGCATTGTGATGTCACATGGGGGGCAGCAAACTTTACTTTTGCCTAGGGCGGCAAAAATCCTTGCACCGGCCCTGGACCAGAGGCTTGAAGATGACACGAGGGACAGCTTGAGATAAGCAAAACTCACACCCCACGACCACATCACTCGTGATCTGTCCATTTCAGGGGTCTTTGTTATACGCGAAGAACCCAAAATTGACAGATTTGCTTTCATAATTCCACATTTCATAATTGCTTTTTTTTTCTGACTGCAATAAATTTGGCTGCTGCCCTGTAATAAATATAAGCTACATTTTCATATGATCAAGATAATAGTAAGAAGAGAAAAGTGGGAATAGAGGAATTCAAGAGTAGAAGAGGGAGTGTGTATTTAGAAAGAGGACCAAGAAAAATAAAGTGAAAGGGGAAAGAACACACAAAAGAGGGGGAAATAAATGTTTTTGCATTGCAGAATATGGTGCGGGTAGGGCTTTTCAACAAGGGCCTTCCGGTTTGTCCACTAATAATCTCAACCAGTATAATCAGGTGTTCGTGTATGTAATGAAGGATTTAGGATTAGAAGTGAGCAAATCCTCCAGAACCCAAAGGTTCACCAAGGTATAGAGCACTGTTCTGTTTCCAGTATCTAGGGGGCACTCTTCACATTGCTTAGTAACCTGGCTGAGATTGTATCATCCCGGTTCAAAGAGAAGTGGATCATACAATCCCGGTTCAAAGAGAAGTGGATCATACAGAAGTGGATCATACAAAGCTGGTGATCAGACATGTCTTCTGTCGCACAGAAACATCTGGGAATAATATTTGTAAAAGTACGTCCCCCTCGGAAGCCGTGTTACCCCTCAATGGTAAGAGTGGGAGAGACAAAGAAGAACTGGGGTGGGTTTATAATATTTATGAACTGGGGAAAATCGAAGCCAGATAGATTTTTTAGATGGAAGTCCTAGCCCCTGATTGTCTTAACTTGGATTTTGATTAACAATTTTGTGATCTGAATCCTTTGGTTTTCATGAACAAAGTAGATTATAAGTATATTCCTTTTTTTTCCCCTTATCTTTTAAGTATTTTTCTAAATGTTTTTGGGCAGGAATTGAATAACATATAGCTTATACATAAGTACTGGGTAAAAATATATGAAATATATTGCCCTCTTTAGTAATGCCAGTTTTGGGAGTTCTTACATATAAGTAATGTAACAATTTTAAGATTTGTTATTAGTCCTTTATACTAAGCAAGTTCCCATCAGTTAAAGGGACACTCCAGTGCCAGGAAAACAAGTAGTTTTCCTGGCACTGCAGGTCCCCTTTCGCTCCCAGCCCCCATCCCATGTTGCTGAAGGAGTGAAAACCCCTTCAGTGACTTACCCGAGACCACCGCTGGCGGTGGTTTAGGGTCCGCCCATGCTCCTCCCCCGCCAACGTGAGCCGGCAGGGGAGTCCAATTGTGCACGCGCGGCTGCCGGCGAGATGAGATCTAATGCGCATGCGCGGCAATGCCACGTACACGCATTAGACCTCCCCATAGGAAAGCATTGAAAATGCTTTCAATGCTTTCCTATGGCGAATTTAGCGAAAACCTGTGCTAAAGACCCGGAAGTGCCCGGAGGAGTTAACCCTACAGTTGCAGGGTTAAGGGTAGTGGGAGTTGGCACCCAGACCACTCCAATGGGCAGAAGTGGTCTGGGTGCCTGGAGTGTCCCTTTAAATGCTTTTGTTCATGAGGACCATCTTTTTTTGTGTCATTTAAGGTTTAAAATGCTAATGCTACCGTCTTGGCAAACCAGTATAAAAATTATTGAAAGGGCCTTCTCCAAAATGGAGGCAAAGAAAAGTCCGGTAACGAGTAAAGGATTAGGTGATAACGTGATGCAGTACAGAATGAATCCGAAGAAGACACATGGTGAAGACTTTGGACTGTTAGACAAACATATGGTCTAAACACGTTGTGAGGACAAAATGGTTTTGGTTATTTAACTCATTGCTTATTGAGAACTTTAGTTTTATCGAGTACATTTCTTGTTATTGTATGTTTTTCATATAATACAGCGTGGGGTTTGTAGGTCCCAACATCACATCGAGTGTAAGGAGACACACAGGTCTCAAGCCATATTTGAGAACTTAAGTTTTAGAGCCCTTTTTTATTTTGAAGTGTTTTTAATAAAATTACATTGGCAACTTGCTGGATCTCACTTTTGGCAGTGAAGGATACTTCCATCAAAGGGGGCTACCAGTGTGGGCATATTGTAGAGCCTGGTCACAGCTCCAAAGGATGTGAGTAGTTCTAACAAGCACTTTACATCAATGACTATATGTGAATGTTTTTGCAAGTATTCATCTAGTTGTTTAAACATATGCACAGAATGATTAATGATTATATGCCCGTGAACGTACAGAGCAGTCCGTGCCTGAGCTCACCTGTAGTAAGAAGAGGTAACAGAGGATGTGCTAATTGGATTTCCTTCCAGCCAAAGGTCTTTCAAGTCCAAGTGTTGAATGAGCTCTAGATCTTCTACCTGGCAAAGCTGCAAAATAGTATACTTTATAACAAAGAAACTAAAATACCAGCAAAAAAAGATAGAGAAAAGAAGCAATATTTTAAAACACTAACACCAGCTGTCTAAGTAGCCGAGACCTACATCTTAAAGTAAATGATGGTATGTAAAACAAAAATCGATACATTGTGCTACGGCAATCACCTCAAAGACTGTGCTACCATGACAGCTTAAAAAGGGTCCTGGTTCTCTGCAAACCACCATATTTATAGTTTAGCTGACTAGTGAGCACGATGCACACTTTACATTATACTGTATTACGTGTCGCCACTAAATAGTTATAAGACAATTGCACCTTAATATCTTAAATGATAACCGTACTGCTTCAGGAAGTGACAAGAAAATGTGATGAACTGCTATCTGAGAAGAGTATAATACAGAGATACAAATCCAGTGTTCAGTTTCTTTAGAGATTTAGATTATGAAAAAAAAAAAAAAATCATAGTCCTCCTATATCTGCCCCATGCTGCGGTTTCTTCACAAAAAACCATTGGCCGTGTCAGTCTTTCCAACTAGGACTCACAAGGTGAATCTCTGTGGAGTCAAGGAGAACCAATGCGGACATGCTCTTAGAACATGTGTAAGGACACCATTTTATTGTACCAGAGGATTATAGGAAATGTTCATATACATGAAATGCCTTGTCTGCACCTTTCAGATGATATCTACAAAGGTTTGAGCGCAGTTTTATTCACAGAAAAATACACAGAGACACTAGTTGAGTTTCGTTAATCCAATTATACAGAATTCAATTCTAATTATGAAGACCGAGATCATGTAAAAAGCACCAGTCTGACCATCCTTACTTTATTGTAGGAGAGATTCAGGCTCTTCAGGTTCGGAGTTGTGTAATAGAGGGGAGCAAGTCCAGTAAGACAGTGGAGGCTGTTGTGGCTTAGATTCAAAGATATCAGCTACAAAAATAAAAAAAAAAAAAAAAAAATCATCAAATTTCACAGCAAAATCAGAAGGGCTGAAGAAAGAGAAAATGAAGCCTATCAAGGAAATTTCTATTTACTGATGACAAAGAGACAAATGTTGATTTTGAAAGAGGAGGGATAATCCTTCTCCATATTGCCAAAATAAGAAGTGTATTCCCAGTACGCCCACTTGAAGTCAGCATTAAGTTAAAGGGGGACTCCAAGCAGACCAGTTCTCTCAGGCCATCATATTGGCCCTGGTATAATCTACACATTAACTCAGCATTGGTCCAATACCATTTGATATGATTTTATGGTGTATTTTTTACTATTGTCGGTCTTCAATAGTCAAGTAGAATTATTGATTTTGAATAAGGGTGCAACATAACTAACATACGACAATTCTTGCATTTTTTTTTTTTTTTTTGATAAAGTATTACTTGTCTTTTCCTAGTCTTGATGTCAGAAAATATAGATTTTATTAATGACAGGAGGTGAGTATTATCCCTCCCATTAACCCACCCTGTTCTTTATGCTTCAGCTTAATCCTGTTTGGAGTTTTGTCGTTCTTATCCTTGGAGTTTACTATAATAGATACTTCTAGATTTGCAGCTGGAAAGAGGAAGAATATTGGGGGATCATTCACTATATAGACTATGCCGGATGCTGATTGGCTACCGAGTGTTCCATTTCAGTTACTCTGTGTTTTGTCTTTTATTCACTAAACTTTACTGAAAAAAATATCTTTGCTGCTGGAGTTAAGTAAAGAAAGTTTAATGCATAATACGAGCCTCCTGTCTTGCTATAAAATTCCAGTTTTGCATCATAAAGAGAATTCCTTCAATATATGCCAGAATCATATTATGCCCAAGAAATTGAGAAAGCAGCTACCCTTTACTCCAATTACTTATCTGTTGTATTTGATCAAAACCTAATGGCAGCTGCAAAGGATACGCTTTAAAATATTGAATTGTGCTAAAGTGCTCATTAGCCATCCTAGGCACTTCAGTTGGCAGTTACTCCTCCAAGCTCTGTCTATAAAAGGCGTACATAACAGGCAAAACACTTCTAATAAATTAACAAAACAGCCACACATAAAGCTTGGATGGATTTTGGACGGGAAAAGAAAAAGTAAAACTAAGAGTGACAGGAGGGCTTATACTTGCAGATATTTTGTGCAAATTGCTGCAATTATAAGTCCGTCTGGGAAGGGAGGGTGAGTGCAAGGTACTCTCTGCACCATTACATTTGCAAGGAGGGTGCTTACTTCAATTGCGTGGTTTCAAGCCCATTTCTCAGATCCATGTGTGTTAAGAACTGCCTTAAATGTTACCACTCCTTTGTCCAAGAGAAGGTTTTTTCCCCATACTAAAATCAAGTGAGTGGCTACAAACCCTGGCTACAAATGCTGCACCTGCAGCCGAATTTGTAAGATCTGTGTTTGTAATACAGTTCAGAATGTACAGAAAATGGCTAAAATAGTACACGTACCTTAGGATAACACTCTGCGAGTATTTGTAAGATAATCTCTATTGACGAAGCTTTGTTTAATGGAAAATAAATATTTGCAGATCGCAGATCTAGAAGGCAAAATGTAGAAGAGGTTACTATATTGGTGAATATACATAGTCTCCTTTCTAAAGTAACTTTAAGGGATCCACATTATATTGCACAATTTTACAACAGCACTACAGTAGTAGTGCTCCCTGCTCTGGTAGAACGCATATTGTAATTAAATATGTAATTAAACAATATACCAAGCACATCGCAAATCAGGAAGAATAGGCCTGGTGCATGCTGGAATACTGTTCAAGCACATGAGGCCAGGAATAGGCTGTTAAGTGTCTCACATGCCTGAAACAAGATGTGGTTTTCTCAAGATTCTGAGGAATGTAACGTCTACCATTCTCAGAGAGAGAGTAGATCCCTGCAGATACAGTAAACTATTACCTGTGTGTTATGTTACAAGCTACCTTCCAGGTGAAAGGGGCACACTGCAGTATTCACACTTTAAATGGTGCAGGTATAAAGCAGGCACAGTACTAACAGCATGCTGTGCACAAATGTATGTAGCTCAATAATGGTCAATATCTTCAATTATCAGTTTGACAATAGCAATCTAACAATTGAAGTCTCTTGCCAGGAATACAAGCCACATGACAAGATAGGCAGCCCTCTGCACTTTTACACAGATTGCTTAGCGTCATGTCACATTGCAGGGATTCACGGTGTCTTTAAAAATTAACATGAAATAAATTGAGCAGATAAACTTTCCTTACCAGGGTCGTTTGAAAGGTTGCTCAGATCTAGACTTTCTAGCATTACATAGTATCGTTTCTGCAGACACATCTGTGATACATTAAGAACAAAAAAAAAAAAAAAAAAATATATATATATATAGATCATTTACAGATTAACCAGTAATCAGCAGCTAAACTATACAAACACAATATAAATCGCTTATTAAGGAGCATATCCTCTAAAAATCATTGAAACTCAGTCATTTAACAAGTCTTAAACACCAATTCCTGGAATTTTGAGACATGAAGAGAAATAGGAGATTATTAGCACTCACAATCATGTACACAGTCAGTCATCAGACGGAGAACAGTTGGGGATTTATTCCCTAAATGGTGATGTCAGTGCTGAGAACTAGAACACAAAAATTCAGCTGATCTTTAGGGATGATTAATGAATGTTTTGCTAATTGGAGGTAATCACAGTAACATTACTGCGCATAATAAACATCCTGCTGTGCAATGTTGAACACACCCTATAGGGGGTCTGATGTACTATTTCTACAACGGAATGATTTTCAAAATTGAAGAAACATTTGTACAAGCCGCTCAGAGGTCAATGATAGATGTATAATGAAGTGGAAACTCAAGAAACAGATATAAACAAGTGGATCTCTTTCTGCACTAGAGCAGAAGGGCCGTACTTGCTACTTGTACAAATAGAGCATCTCTACAAACATTCTCTGCATCCTGCTAAATATATATATAATTTCTATTCCCTTCTCAACCCTTTGACCTCCCTCCAATGCGGTTACATCTGCTCTAGTTTGTGAATTCATTGCTTCACATCGAATATTCACCTTAACCCCTTAAGGACCAAACTTTTGGAATAAAAGGGAATCATGACATGTCACACATGTCATGTGTCCTTAAGGGGTTAAAGGGATTCTACAGGCACCAGATCAATTCATCTCAATGAAGCGCTTCCAAGGAAAATCTTATAAATCTCTGTTATTTCAATCAGATGGTCTCAGAAACCACTTGATGGGTTTTATATCCACATTGTACAGGGCTGTGGAATATGCTAGCGACATATAAATAATAAAAATGCGCAGGTTTTACCTTTATTTCTGTTGCGCTGGAAATGCTATAGCGCCTTGTGTCGTGTACGGACACTACTCTTGCACTTGATGCTGGAAACTCCTGCATGTTAGTGAATGGGGGCTCACAGGGGGTGGCAATAATAACAATCTAAAAAAGAAATGAACAGCAGTAAAAATCCGGCTTTCCAAGAGGATTCAGAAAAAAAGCTTTAAATAGTACATAGCAAGGATGACTGATCTTGGCATTATGGGAAAGATAGTTGAAAAAAGACAATCACAGCTATGTTACATAATATGCACTGACAAAGAATGGCTGCCACAAAACCAGATAATGTTTGATTACAAAGGCAATATCAGCACACCCTACACAGTGATTGGCTATTGAACGGAGACTGTAGGCACCCAGACCACTTAAGCTAATTGAAGTGATCTGAGTGCAATGTGCCTTTTGCACTTAGTGCTGCAATGTAAAATATTGCAGTTCCAGAGAACTACAATGTTTACATTGCAGCTTTACGTCTGCCGTCAGTGGCTGTCTACCAGACAGAAAGCCACTAGAGGGCTTCCATAATTGTAACAGACTTTTGGTCCGTTATCGGACGCTGGACGTCTTCACGCTCTGCATGAGGACCTCAAGTGTCAGATTTTCCCCCATAGGAAAGCATTGCCGCGCATGCGCATTAGACCCCGCTCGTTGCGGGACGGAGCATCAGCGCTGGGACCTTTACTTACCAGGTAGGAGGGGGCGCAAGGGAGAGGGGAGGCAGAGGGATCGGTAGTGCCAGGAATACAGCTTTGTATTCCTTGCACTACAGTACCCCTTTAACATGATAGATGCTACTATAAACAAAATGCCCTAACTGGAAACGACTGGCTTAACCAATCCAGGCGACATCTACATGTATACATCTTAATTCCCAGCATGTTTACCCCAGACAATCCTTTATGAAAGGTTATAAATGTGTCAATAAGTGAAGCACTGCTGGCAAGCCATTTGGTTACAATATGTAGCTTTCTACATGTAAAGGGTCACTCCAGACCCCTAAAAAACTTTAGCTTGTTGAAAAGCTTTGTGTGTCAAGAATGTATCCCCTTTTTATTTTGCAAAAAGTGCAAAAGACACTTCTAAATTAAGCTGGTTACACCTCCTTAACTTTCAATCAGACAATACGTAATTTTTCTTCCTGGTTTGGTTAACTTGGTGGAGCTAAACTCAAAAGGAAGCAATTTCCCAGACAACCTACATTATAACGACTTCTCACTGAGCTGCATTGGGAAGTCTGTGATTGGACAGACACAAAGTCTGGGCGGGTTAGAAGGGGAGGCTTTGCAAAGGCAGCAGACAAGAGAAATGCGGGTTTTGCAAGCTGTTTAAAATATAACCCCAACAATGAAAAATGCATAATTAAATGCATGCATGTTTTAATTTGGGTATATATACTAAACAGGGATAATTTATTTTGTGTAGTGGAGTGTAACTGAGAAACTGTTGCAGATATTACTGAGGAAATGACACACTGTCAGATGTTTTATTTTATTAAATATAGAATGATAATCTGGACTAGGAAAAAATATGATGGAATAATATTGAAAACCAATCATTTATACTGTGTACTTGCCTACTAGTATATTACAAGATGTTCAAATCTAGGTGAAAAATGAATTGAGTTAGAGGCTGCAATACCAATCTGTAAATGTGATGAGCTACATTCTATTAGATAGGTGTAGCGCTGTATACATACATATAGTGGAGTTGAGCCTCATAGATTAATAAGGCATCCAAATGGGGACAATTCCAATGTCTTATACAATCAACCTAAAACAAGCAAGAAGAAACTCCAATAGTGTAACACCATACAGTAAATATAATAAAAGTTAAAGATAACCATAAACTCACATTCTCCTGAGCTTAATGCCAAGCTCAGGGATAAGCGCTTGTAGGTTCTATAAATATTCTATTCATATTTATATTTTATTTTGCAAAGAAAGAAAAGATCAAGATTTTTTATATTTATATTTCATTCTTTATGGTTTTTGATTTTAAATGATGATTTTTTAGGAATAGGTCCATGTGCAATTACATATATTCTACATTTTTTCTCCCTTGGAAGGATAGTTAGGTATATCCCATCACCCCCTAATATGACGATCTTATAGTTAACTTTGTAGGTTTTATTTTTAACAGTTATTTTTAGCAGGAATTTTTAGTGCGCTAGAATATATAATTTTCTCGCACATTTTCAGCCTTAATGGGATGTTTCGTTTTTTATGGGATATTTTTTTTGTTTATCCTCCGTTTTTTATAGATAGTCCCGGCATATGCCGATAAGATTTAGGACTTCTATGTAGTAAAATAGAATCGACAATAAGGAATATTAAGTTATACTGTATAACTCTTTTGAGCTATTCTATGTAACTAGTTTAAAGTGATAGTGATTCATAATGAGAAACTAGCACGATACACTGTATAAATTCATTTGTGTCATTTCATGTAATACGTTTTTTGCAATTGTTATATCCCTGTATACGATAAAACTGTACACAGAGGGAATGTAAGTAAGATTATAATATCCCCTTTGGAACATAAGCTGAAAGGTAGTGAAGAGGAGAATCCACTGTAGATTCCATGTTTGTATAGCCTTACTTGGTATATTATACATTTATTAATTCATTTATTAATTCAACGATATTTTTACTTGGTACACTATGTATTTATTAATTCAATGATTGCTTCTTTTTGGTACAGTAATATATGCTCATTACCATCTTCACTTTTTCCTCGTTTTTATTAATTGTTGGACTTGTTGAATGAGATCCACATGCAATGTCCGATCACATGACCGAGAGAAAGGACGTCATATGCGGAAGTGATTTGGACAAGAATAGAGGCGTGGAACGCAAACATTGAGCGGACATCCACAAAATAAGCGCGCGCTTTTTCAAACAGCAGAAGAGGAGGACTATATAAGCAGGATAACTTCACTTCGAGAAGACACATTGGACCCAGCTGAGGAAGCCGTCGGAGTTACGGCGAAACGCGTTCTGGGAAGAAGTGTATGATACCTTTTATGCCCTTTTGCTATCGATTTATTTATTTATTTTATATTTATGTGTTTTATAGATTTATAGAGGGTTTACCATACCCCTGTGTTGTAATAAAATTATTATTTTTTAATTTTTGGATGGGCTTTATGGTTCCTGCTTTGAAAAGTCTTGCAGTTCATTCAACGCATTAAGACAGAGCCGATATAGAGGCTCCACTTTTGTGAGTATATGGTGTGTTTGAAGTGGGAGCACTCTATATAAACGTGCTATACTATATCTGTTTCACTTGAGTCCTAGAGTCGATTTGGAAATAAAACCCAGTGAAAAGAAGGGGAAGGTCGCCTGTACGGACCTACAAGCGCTTATCCCTGAGCTTGGCATTAAGCTCAGGAGAATGTGAGTTTATGGTTATCTTTAACTTTTATTATATTTACTGTATGGTGTTACACTATTGGAGTTTCATCTTGCTTGTTTTAGGTTGATTGTATAAGATATTGGAATTGTCCCCATTTGGATGCCTTATTAATCTATCAGGCTCAACTCCACTATATGTATGTATACAGCGCTACACCTATTTACTTTTTTATCTTGTCCAACATTGATGTAAGTTAGAAAGATTACATCCAGGTGTTACAGCAGCTTGTTTAAATATTTTATTGAACTAAAGAGTGTTATATCGAGTTACAGCGCCAGTATACCATTTGTATTTCTACATTCTATTACATGTTTATACTCCAGGGTTTGTAGGACAACCACATTTTTAGTTATGTAAACTCTAATTTACCAACTACCACGGTGATATAGCAAGGCTTGCAGTTACTCAGGATAAAAAAAATGGCATACCAAAATGTTTACCTTGTAGTAAAGTTCTCCTTGAATTCTTTTTGAAACTCTAACCAGATTTTTGGCAATTTTAAAACTATCCACGTAGAAAACAGCCATGTTGTTAACATAGTGAAACTAAAGAGGAAAAAATAGATTTGTATACGGCTTTCAAGATTTATAGAAAACAGGCAAATGCACAATAATAATTCAAAAGAAAATAATGCATAAACAATTCGGAACAAACTGCCACAGAGAAGGATAAAAATATTTCCCCCTATAAAATCTTTTCCCCTGCACGGAGCAGGTTATTAATTCATCCCTGCATTTTTAAAGAAACTTCACAAGGGTATGCAAAATGAGTCATTGTGTACTCAAAATATATAGCCGAGCACAACTTAGCGATTTTAGTACAGTAGCACAGATCAGGTTTACTGGCTCACAATATACAATATTTGAAATAAAAGTGTGCTCCTGCTGTGTAAAACCCCATACTGTGTTCAGCTACATCTTCTGTGACCCAAACACCACTCAGCATACTCTTCTGAATAAAACAATACCCCCAATGTATGCTTTTGGCACTATCTTGCGAGATTACAGTGCCATAGAAAAGACCTGAATATTTCAGTGTTTACATTTAGAATACATTAATTTGATGGGTCTATTTCGCATTTTTAGGGCATTTTATTAGTTTGATAGTTAAAAATTACCCCATAAATATTTGTGAAATTAGACATAAGGTATATTTTGAGCCTTATTAAAACAGCCATTGCAGCACCAATTTCATTCAAAATCCAATTGCAATTTAGTGGTATATTTTTAAAGTTGATATGTGATGCTGTAATAAAAATCACTACATTGTGCTCAACTATATCTCCTGAGTACAGAATGATCCCCTTCGTATTCTCTTGTCAAGTTTTGTGAAAATACTCAATTTATGATTGGCCCATTGCAAGGGGGTTTTTTGCATTTTTTTTTATATTAAAATGAGAATTAGATGTGTCATATCAAATTAAAGGAACAATACAGGGCCAAGAACACAGTGTATTCCTGACCCTTTAGTGTTAAAACCACCATTTATGTGGCTTGACCCCCTTAAAAAGTAATAAAACTTACCTTATTTCCAATCTGCCTTCTTGACTGACATCAAAATTGATGATCGCATCCAATCCAATAGAAAAGGAATTGAATTGGCTGAATTCGTCAAGGAGGCAGGGGCAAACAGCATCTCCTTCAAAGAAATGCATTGAATCAATGCATCTCTATGTGGAAAGTTCAGCATCACCATGCAGAGCGTAGAGACGAACGTTAGTGTTGCACACTGTGCAGTACTGGCCCAGGAAGCACCTCCAGTGGCCATCTGAGGTCTTTTTCTCTGAAAAGACTGTGTTTATAGCAAAAGGGCTGCAGGGACTGAATATACACATCAGAACAACTACATTAAGCTGTAGTTCTGATGACTATAGTGTCCCTTTAAAGCTCTGCTTGTCCTTTAAAAAAACAATATGTAATACGTGTTGGTACAATAAATGAGAAAGATAGTAATTGTGGTTAAACATACACATAGCAAAAATGTCAAAATTGCTTTTGTCCTTAAATACAAAATAAGCAAACTGAAGCTGTATCATTAAGGTGTTAAAGAAGAAAACAAACATTAGGAATATGGTTACAAACACTTTGGCCGAAAAGAGAAACTCCCCCTTGGAGAAGCAGAGTTGGTGCCGAATAACACCTATTCAGATGGGCTGCAACCAAAGCCAATATCTTCATACTCACTATAACACTCCGTGGTAATGATGCTTGGAGTGTCAGTTTAAAAAATGCTCTTAGCCAATAGGAAACAGTTTTCTTTTACTGAATATGTTTCAAAATTTTTGCAACTATTATTTTCATAGTGATGATGTTATATTTAAGGAATTTTTGTCTGCTCCTTGTTAACAACATTCTAATGGGAATGTTTTAGTAGGCCATGGTGTACACACCGTATGTATGTGGGATTTGAATTCCTACCTGGAAGGCTTTGAACTGAGAGCCACATTCCTGCTCAATAGAGTGCAGCAACCAGGACTTATCATACCGCTTGCCGTATGGGATCTGAAGGAAAGAAATATATATTTTGCATAAATAGTATATGGACAGCTAAATGGAAGATAAAAAGGGGAATTTAAATATCAATCCTGGCAACATTCAAATATCACATTCAACTCCGTGCTGAAAAGATAAAAAAAATCTCCCAATAGACGTTTAAAGGGTTACTCCAACGCTTATCGAAGTGTGTGTCATATTAAAATGCCGTATAGGTAATTATTCACGAGGTCCTCCTTAATCCCTATGTAATTCATGAAAAGTTGGCCAAAAAAAAAAATATATATATATCGATGTCCTAGAATCTATAGGGACAGATAAGGGGGTAACCCTAGAAGAATTAATAACCGAAAAAAAGGAAATCTGTTCACACTATCAATATAAAGTAAAAACAGTTAAAAATCTAGAAGAAACTATTTGTTAATCAAAAACACGAATGTAAAAACACAAATGTAAAAACACAAAAAAAACCCGGCTGTGACTGCCTGACTAAACAAAAGTCAATTTTGGTAGTCAAAGCAAAGAGCACAAAAATAGAGTGAGAAAAATAGAAAATTCCACAAATAAATGAAACAATCAACGGAGTTTATAAATATCGCCATAGTGATATACATTAGTATCTAGAGTAGATTTGTTTAGTGCATAGAAGGTGCTCAAACAATGTAGCCTAGCTAGGCTTGTCAGAAAGATCCCACTAAATTGACTGTGCAATATCGGTAGAAATAATTGTATCAATGTCAGAAATAAATTCAATACAATACAAATTATCTGCACAGTTCAACTGAAGGGAGTTCTTCTACAATCAGTGTAAACATTTGTGTTTTTGATTAACAAATAAAGTATCTTCTAGATTTTTAACTGTTTGTTTGTACTTTATATTGATAGTGGGAACAGATTTCCTTTTGTTATTAATCCCTATGTATATTTAGACAAATGGAGGTCATTTAGTTACTCCAATGGCCATTGGAGGGAATGCCCACCTGCCAACGTCAAGGCAAACCCCCCTAAAGCGGGTCCTACACTGACCCTTCAGCCTGCTTCCTTCAGCTTCTGGCAAAAATATCTCTAATGAGACAGAGAGGGGTATTTTTTTTATATACACCCCTATATACTTAATAATCCTTAATAGGGAACACATGAGATGGGCGGCAGCATTGTAACAAGGCTGTGTGATACAAACAGTGAATATAAATACAAAAAGATAAGTCCTGCGCTCACTCCCATCACTACTGGGCGGCAGCAATGACAACAGTACACATTAGCCCCAATATATAGTAAAAACCAAAAAAAAAAAAAAAAGGTTACCTGCGCTCTCTCCTTAATCCCTATGTATATTTAGACAAATGGAGGTCATTTAGTTACTCCAATGGCCATTGGAGGGAATGCCCGCCTGCCAACGTCAAGGCAGGACCCACTTACCAGATATATACCTTTTAGGAGGTATAGGCCAAACCAACTCTGAGGATAACTACATCTAACAGAGAGCCATTCTGGCAGGCCTTCAGGGCTCTCTGTCCATGCATTACAGGGATGCTCTGACTTTAGCTTAATGAAATGGTTTTGGTGTACAGATCATTCCTTTGCAGCTGCAAGTGTAATATGTTTTTTTGTAAATCTTTCTTTTATTGAGACATTGAGTTATGCGGTACAGAATGTAAACAAAAATAAAGGTGTTAGTGCATAAGACAAGATGTCAATCAAATAGTTGGTCAGTATACTCCTAGCTATCTCATTTTTGTTTGTAACATTATCATGCAAGTCTAATTAGTAACAACAAGCTATACCATATAGTGCAGTGTAACAATCAATAGGTAAGTCAACGCAAGTAATATCAAGCTTCTTAGTTATATCCCTAATGTTATGGTATGATAGATTCAGGCTAAACCGTAGCTTGAACTAAGCGGATAAGTATAAGTTATTCATTAGGTATAGTGATGAATATCAGGAGGGAAATTAATATGATAAAACAAGTTGATGGTTCTGTGCAGTTTCACGATAGGTTAGACATATCCAACTAGGTAAACTATCTGAGTATACATTAATAGGAAGTTAAGCTAAGCTAGAGTTGCAGGCTGTTCTGTTAGACCTAGCTATTAGAGTGAGTTCTAGAAGTACGATGCATAATTAAAAGCATATCGTTGCAAGAAAATAAAATGAAAAAAAGATTTAAAGACTTGGTTAAATAGATCATTATTTAAGCTGTTCAGTCGAGTCTAGTTTCTATCGATCGGAACATAAGCTGTCATATGAGATTTAACTAACGAGGTATACATTTAGGTTTGTAGCTTGTATGGCTAGCTAGACATGGATTAAGTTATGATAACACGTCTATGCTTCACCGTATGAGTAATTCCTAAGGCTGTAGTTATGTGCGGTCTTGATTATATCCTATAATGAAGAGTCCCATGGAGCCTCGGTGTCGCGGATTAAGAGAGCTGGTGGGGCTTCGTCGTCTCTTCTCGGCCCTCCGTGAGTACCTAGGGTGGCGGGGGTCTGGACTTGGTGGCGTGCCGGCCTCTTTGCTCCCCATGCTGGTGTCTTTTCCCTCCTGATGTAGGGGCAAAGCCCTTCTGAGTGCTGGTTGCGGCTGTGCAGCGCCGTGGGCGGCTGATGCGCTGAGTGACCATCTTGGCTCCTCTAGTCGTAGGCCGAGCATAGGCCCTCCGAGTGCGTCTCTTTAGTTGTATAGCGGTGGGCAGTGTGTGGAGGCTCTCCGAGTATATCGGGACCCAGGCAGGCGGTGTTGGATGCGTGATATGCGGCAAAGCCCTCGTTCTTCTCTGCTGCTTCGTACCGGTCAGTGGCATGATTGTGCTTGCCAGATCTGATTTGTGTGCAGGTGAGGTGGTGGGCAGTCGAGGGACCGTTGTGGCTGCTTGGGTCCGTGCGTGTGGCCCACAACCCGTGCCCAAAAATGGTCGGAGGCTGCTGCTATGCGGTCCTCGTGGGGGGTATCCGGCTTGCCAGTAGCGCTGGTAGAGGTTGGGTGGGTGTAGGCCCAGAAGCCTGGTCAGCAGCCACCATCTTGGTTACTGGGTGCGGGTTGCATGCAGTCCTGTGACCCTGTGAAATGTGGACCGGGATAACCCCCGCCAGGGGGGGACGGGACGACACGTGGGCTCAGCAGTGAGTCAGTCGGGTATGAAAGCAATGGGAGAGCAGCAGTCTCTCCCGTGCCGCCCGTGTGAGTAGGCCACATGTTGGTGCCGAGCGGGGTATCAGCGTTTGAGGTGTCTGTGTAGGTCTCTGTGCCCTCTACTTGGTATCAGCTTCCAAGAGCCCGATTTGGGTGTCTATTTTGGCAGAATCTGCGTTAATTGTCTGTTGGCTCAGGAGCGGTTGCTGCTTGCGTCCACTCAGCGGTGAGGCCCCGCCCCCAAGTGTCATGTTTTATTAATGAAAAGGTTACTCCAAGCATCACTACAGCCCACTATAATAGTAATGATTCTAAGGTTTGTCTCTAATTGGGGTCCAGCCTTCTCGAATGTCAGCTAATCGCACCCGGCTTCTGCAGAAACAATCCCATCACTCATTCATTGAATGAGAGTGTCAGCTGAGAGGTCTCAGTCAATGAAGGAGTGTCTGTGCAAGGAATAAGTAGAGAACTCTTGTTCCGAGTGGGCTAGTGACACAGCCTTAGGTTGAGCTACACCGCCATGTTAAATATCCAGTAAATAAAATACTTCTAGACATTAATGTGGTCATGGTGGTTGTAGTACCCCTTTAACATGTAAAAACATTTAATTGAATTGCTAATGGTCTAGCTCATGTTCCTGGCATCTACCGGATTGTATCTTACTTGAGTCAATGCAACACTGTACTACTTTAACGTATGCTCATTTAAAATTAGCTTTATTCAAGTGCTGATAGTTTGCCAGAGATATTTGATTTTTATTTTGCAGTTTTTAGAGATGGAAAAAAAAAAAAAACCCTAAGTCTGTGAGAAACCTTCCTTTCAGATTGACCACCTCTTATATTAACAGATATTTGTTCCTTCTTTTTTTTTTGTAGGTGTTCGTGTTTTACAAAGATAATCATATACACACACACACAGAGAATTATATTGCGGTGGCTCCTGCGATATGTTATCCGAGCCTTATTTAGAAAACAGGTAGCAATAAACCCTTGCAGCTTTTATTTTAATTGATGTGTATTTTATTCTGCTCATTAAAAATAAAATGGAAAAACAAAAACCACTTCCACCAACTATCAACATAACCCTAAATGTAATAATAGCCATCTTTGCTTTATGGACTTTGCTATACACACACACACATGTAAGAAGCACATCAGTGATTGTGTCAAATCCACCACAAACACTGCCATCTACTGTTTCCACACTCACATTGCAGACAAGTGACATGCTCGCTTAGAAGGGGGAGATGAAAAACTGCTTTAATACGCACCGTAATCCTAAACCAAAACTTGGCATGATTATTTGCTCTATGGTAAGGGTGGTTAGTCTGGTACATTTGGTCATCCGTGTGCCATCTGGTTCTATACATTTCACTGAAAAGCAAACAGGATGAAGTTATGATACTTTTATTATAACAAACTGAGGAGATCCAGTTTTAAAATGCACAGGCAGCAAAGCATTACCTGCAATGTAGGTTAGTTGAACTACAAGTCATAATCCCAAGGCAGTCAATTTGTATTTTAAAATCTGATGATTTTTCCACTTGCAGGCATATTTATAATCTATTGTAAAAAGCATGGAGATTGCGTCTGCCAAGCTTTAAAGGATCACTATAGGGTCAGGAACACAAACAAATATGCCTGCAAGTGCAAAAATCATCAGATTATAAAATACAAATTGACTGCCTTGGGATTATTCCTAACCCTATAGTGTTAAAACCACCATCTAGCCTCCCTTGGCCCCTCATGCCACCAAAAATATAGCAAAATCTTACTGTATTCAAGCCTGAAGCTGTAACTCTGCATGCTGTTAGACTGCTAACATCATTAGAAGTGGTGGCCTGGTCCAATCACAATGCTTCCCCATAGGATTGGCTGAGACTAACAGGGAGGCAGAGCCAGCATGATTCAAACACAGCTCTGGCCAATCAGCATCTCCTCAGAGATGAACTGAATCAATGAATCTCTATGAGGAAAGTTCAGTGTCTGCATGCAGAGGGAGGAGACACTGAATGTTTGGAAGCATTTTAGGCAGCCATGACCCAGGAAGGATCTCTAACAGCTATCTGAGGAGTGGCCAGTGACGTTATAACTAGTCTTTAATGTAAACAAGGCTTTTTCT